CCACCGCAGCCTCGACTTGCTGGGCTCCGGCGATCCTTCCGCCTCAGCCTTCCAAGTAGCCGGAATTACAGGCATGCGCTACCACGTCCGGCTGATTTTTTTATTTATTGTAGAGATGAGGTCTCGCTGCCCAGGGGGGTCTCGAACCTGCGGGCTCAGGCAATCCACTCACCTCAGCCTCCCAAAGGCGCGGGATTACAGGCTGAGCCACCAAGCCCGGCTTATTATTTCTTACAATTTCATGCTAATCTACATTTATCCCATAATAAAAAGTTTAATTTTAAAACCTTCATTAGTAATACATTCATGGATAATACAACACTGAATATGTTCCTGAAGAAAGAATTTTCTTATAAGCATACTTTCCTTATGAATGAAGAGTTCTCATGAGACTACCTTCATACACTCCTCAACCTCCTGACATTCTACACTGTCAGTCAACAGGTGCAGCAGTGGGATGACAAATTCAATGTTTTTCACAAACCTCACATTCCTTCACTAAAACCATATAGTTTATTTTAGTAAAATGTTTGAATTTGTTTTAAAACCCCTTTAAAATAAACATTTTAAAGCTAACCAATTGTGCATAATAATGGATAACTAATAACAAGTAACAACCACGATAAGTAACTGATTATGGTGTTGATGGTAATGAGTGAGGTGGTTGTGGCGATAATGATCATAGTCATTATCATGATGGTTGGGATAAACATGGTGATGGGATTGTTGGTGTTAAATATTCCAAGCTGACATGAAACTGTTTTCCTAGCTGCAAGAGGACTCTACCAATAAAAAGAAAATTAACACACCTGAGAGGCAAAACATGATTCACAGAGCAGGTGTAAACCAAGACTCTAATTGTTCTATTAGTGAGGACTTCAGTCTCTGTAGTAATTGCATCCCAGAAGATATTCTGCACATATATATGTAAATAGAATCCCAAACCTCTCAGTCCCCATGACCCATTTTTCATGACTGTGCTAGCCTCTTTGAGTAAATTTAGGACTAGATATAAATATATGTGGTTCTCACAATCCTGATTACTAAAGCCAAGGCAACTTCTAAAGTTTCCAGGAAACTGTGCTCCATTTTTCCTCAGCACAGGTAATTAATGATAGATTTAAAGCAATTGTATGAGAAAAATATTTCTTCCGTGAACTCTTACTTATAATTCAGGCTATTTGCATACGTTTATCTTCATCTCCACATGCTTTTTTTCTCTGTGAGCTGTGTTATCAGCAGTAATCCTGAGTCTCTTATGTCTTATTAAAACTAAAAGTAATAATTGTAGTAACTGGTATGAAATATATGGTTTGGCCAGGTGCAGTGGTTTACACCTGTAATCCCAGAGCTTTGGGAGGCTGAGGCAGGAAGATGGCTTGAGGCCAGGAGTTTGAGACCAAACTGGGCAACATAGCAAGATCCCATCGCTACAAAAAATTTATGGTGGCATGCGCCTATAGCTCTGGCGACTCTGGAGGCTGAGTTGAGAGAGTCACTTGAATTCAGCCCAGGAATTCAGGGTTATAATGAGCTATGATTGCACCACTGCACTCTAGCCTGAGTGAGACCCTGTGGGAAAAGAAAAAGAAAAAGAAAGAATGAAAGAAAGAAAAAGAGAGAAAAAAGAAATATGTGTGTGTGGCTTATGTTGCCTGTTTTATATTGTTAGAAGATTACATGAAAAATTAAATCAATACTGTCTAGGCTCCTCCTATACAATGATGTTCCCACTTGCACTACACTCGGTAAATGATGTTCATTCTGCACTGCTTTGTAAAGCACTCTCATCTATCGTAACAGTTATTCAAGATGGGTTTTCTGTGTTTCTTATTATTTTAACAGGTAGAGATTGGGCTAAGAAAAGTATAACTGAAACTTTTAAATCTATTGTTATTAACTAGAAAAAATTCTTTTTTGCAATATGGAAATAGTACATTTCCATTGTAACAAATGGAAATAATGTCTTATCTGAAATGCTTAGGATTAGGTGTGTTTGGAGATTTTGAATTTTGAGGGGTTTTGGAATGTTTGCATACATAAGAAGGTATCTGGAGGATGTGACCCAAGTCTAAATAGAAAATGTATTTGTTTCATGTACACCTCATATGAGAGGAACCAAAACAACCTGGAATTTGCTTATTTAAAAATTGTGTATTCTTTCATGTTTACACTTTAGTCACCCTCAAAGTACTCTCTGCTTGGTGCACCATACCTATAGAGATGCTTTTTTCACTGCTCAAAGCAGTTTTTGAATTCATTAATTGTGATGGTTTTTAGTGCTTCTGCTATTTTTTGTTTCTACATCAGCAAAATGTTTCCCTTTGAGGACTTTTTTCATCCAGGGAAACCAAAAAGTCACTTGGGCAAGATCTAGTGAATAGGGAGGGTGGAGAACAGGGGGTCATGACATTTTTTATCAATAACTGCTGAAAAGTCAACATGGTGTGGGCAGGTGCACTGGTAAATCATCCATGATTAAATAGGCAAATGCACTGAAAGACTCTCAAAAAAAAAATTCACTGAAACTGAACACAGCCTCTCACAACAATGCTACCTGATATACTGATGCTGATGGGTTCCCAGAACACTTACCTAGCAGGGGAAGCCTGTACTACAAGGAGCCCATCCTCCAAAAGATAATTTTGGGTATTTTGGGTACCCTCCTCCTCTGACACAGAGCCTAAAGGTAATTTTATACAATATTTTTAATAATTTTGTGCATGAAACAGTTTTGACTGCGACCCATCACATGAGGTCAAATGTGGAATTTTCCATTTGTGGTATCAAGCTGGCTGTCAACAAGTTTCAGATTTTGGAGCATTCTGGATTTCAAATTTCAGATTAGGGATGCTCAACCTATATTCAAAACATTTTAGCTACCTCTGATACTAGTCACAATAAAGTTAAATGTTTAGCCACTAATAAGTTAACATATAAAGTATACAATGTAATGTAGATTTTTGTCTTCACATCACATTCTAAGGATTTTAAAGACTCTTACAACTAAGAAAAAGAAATATAGTTAGTGCCAGTTATTATTATTATTATAAGAACCAAATGAAACAATATATTTTATGTGCTAAGTTTAAATGCATTTTTGTAAAGATATATATGTATTTATTTACATGTAAATACCTATATGCATGGACAAAAATTATGCAGTTATTCACTGCCAGGATTAGGCTCCAAGTAGCAGAAATATATATTTTTTAATTTTTGCTTATTTTCATTTCTAATTTACTACAATGCATATATATTGCCTTTATAATTTTTTACAATGCATCCAAAATTAATGTAGATTCTACCTCTATCCTCAAAAATTGAATAAATTAATTTTACTAAATAATAATAAAGTGCTATGCAAAGATAAGTTATAATAAAACTATATAATTTAGTGGAGACAAAGCAAACTGGTAGACAGAAGAGCCGGGTTTTAGGCCCAGTTCTTCCTCTAACTAGCTCCGTTATCTTGAGTAACTTATTTAGCTTTTAGAACTTCAATTTCCTAGAGAATGAAAAAAAAATACAGTATTCCTTTTTTTCCATGCTATGTATATATTAAAATATCAAGTGTAAAACACATTTCAATCATGCATTGCTTAGAGCTGCAAGTGCAGATATATAAGGCTATGCAGGCAAGGCAAGAGAAGCATCTCATGGTTAGAAGAGAGCAGAGGTAAGTTTGAGCTTCAAGTTTCCAATTATTAGTAATCCTTCAGCAAGTCAGTGTCTAGCACTCCGATTTTCTCAATATAAAAATGGAAATAAAAATTCTTCTCTAAACACATTTGTCCCCATACTCCAAAATTTTAGAAGTTAATGAGATTGACCTTTGAAATAAATGTATAAATTATAGAGTATTATAAAAGCAATTATATAAGGAAGCAATTAAGATTGTGAGAATTTAAGCTTTTTGGCTTAAGAAATACATCCCACAGATGAAGATATCTATACATATTGCATCTAGCAATGATTATTCAAGTTCCCTGGAGACATGTCTATAATTTGAATACTTTGCCATTAGGGATGTAATAGTGCCATGGTTTGATATTATGATCTGAAAATATTAACCACAAGTAGTTACTGAGCACTTACTGTGGACAATACTTTGTGCCAGTGCCCAGACTACACCACAGATCAATTAAATCAGAAGTTCTGTAGAACCCAGGCATCAATACTTTTTTTAAGTTAGGGGTGATTATAATATACAGCCAATGCCAAGAACAACTAGATTAGGACCAGTGAAAAACTAAAAACAAGATCCAGACACTTAAGGACAACTTACATTTTTATAGGAACTGAGTATTTGAAAAAAATATTTCTAAATATACATTATTTCACGTTACTTTTACAATCACTTTTGGAATCGTTATTAGTAATTTCCTCATCTTTTAGATATAGAAATTGATATGTCACTCAATGATACAACTTGCAACTACCATATCACCCTGACACTGCATCCATTTGAGATAGGTATTAATATGTTGATATTCATTAAATATTTATGAATTATATACATAACAGAGAAATTTTACTTCTGAAGCAAAATCCATCTCCAACTACAACATATAAAATATACTACTTATTGTCTATTGCAGAAAGGTTCTCAGACTACTGTGTATCAGCATCACTGGAGAAACTGTTAATATACAGATTGCTGAGCTCCATTCCCACAGTTTATAATCAGCCGATATGGAGTGAGGCCTGAGAATGTGCATATCTAACAAACTCCAGGAGATGGTGATGCTGACCCAAGGATTACACTTAAAAAACATTTCTCTAGGATATTTGAGAAGTATATATAAAAGATCCAGACCTTAGCCCTGTTTCCTCTCTTCTTCATGATCTTTGAAACCTTCAGAGGGTGGTCTTCCTGCCCACAAACATCAGGAGTAAGGGGAGGATGCATCTGCTGAAAGCCCCAGAAGGCTTAGCTGAAAAAAAAAAAAGGATCAAAATGAGCTTCCCTGAGTAGTCTAGAACATTCTTTCATGGGGTTCTTCTCTCCCATCCCCACAGGCCTCCCAGAAAAGAATGGCTGCAGAAAATTACTCCACAATGACAGAGTTCATTCTCGCAGGATTAACAAACCGGCCAGACCTCCAGTTCCCCCTCTTCCTCCTCTTCCTTGTATTGTACATGGTCACCATGGTGGGGAACCTGGGCATGATCACTCTGATTTGCCTGAACTCTCAGCTCCATACCCCCATGTACTATTTCCTCAGTAATCTGTCATTTGTGGATCTCTGCTACTCTTCCGTCATTACCCCTAAAATGCTGGTCAACTTTGTCTCCAAGAAGAATATCATCTCCTATGCAGGGTGTATGTCACAGCTCTATTTCTTCCTTGTTTTTGTCATAGCTGAGTGTTACATGCTGACGGTGATGGCCTATGACCGCTATGTCGCCATCTGTCACCCTTTGCTTTACAACGTCATCATGTCTCATCCTGTCTGCTCCATGCTGGTAGCTATGATCTACACCATGGGACTTATTGGTTCAACAATAGAGACTGGTCTCATGTTAAAACTGCCCTATTGTGAGTTCCTCATCAATCACTACTTCTGTGACATCCTCCCTCTCATGAAGCTCTCCTGCTCTAGCACCTATGATGTTGAAATGGCAGTCTTCTTTTTGGCTGGATTTAACATTATAGTCACCAGCATAACAGTCCTTGTCTCTTATGCCTTCATCCTTTCCAGCATCCTCCGCATCAGCACCATAGAGGGCAGGTCCAAAGCCTTCAGCACCTGCAGCTCCCACCTTGCCGCTGTGGGGATGTTCTATGGATCGACTGCGTTCATGTACTTGAAACCCTCCACCGTCAGTTCCCTGGCCCAGGAGAACGTGGCCTCTGTGTTCTACACCACGGTGATCCCCATGCTGAATCCCCTAATCTACAGCTTGAGGAACAAAGAGGTCAAAACTGTCGTACAGAAAATGCTGAGGAAAAAACAGTTTTGATGTGAATGTCATTCTTCTTTTTTATTTTAAAGTACTCTGTGGCTGGGCTCGGTGGCTCAGCACTTTGGGAGGCCGAGGCAAGTGGATTGCCTGAGCCCACGGGTTCGAGACCAGTCCGGGAAATTTGGCGAGACCTCGTCGCTATAATAAATCAAAAATTAGCCGGCCATAGTAGTGCGTACCTGTAGTTCCGGCTACTTGAAAGGCTGAGGCGGAAGGATCGCCAGAGCCCAGCAGGTCACCGCTAGGGTGGCCGTGAGTGTGACATGGCACTCCAGTCTGGGCGACAGAGTGAGACTCCAATTCAGTTAGTTAGCTAGCTAGCTAGCTGACTGACTGGCTGGCTGGCTGCCTGGCTAGCTAGGTAGTTAGTTAATGTGCTTTGTTATAAATGCCAGAAGTACACTCTCTGAATGCTGGCCAGCTATGGGTGGAAAACGTTCCTTTCACATGGTTGGGTGAATTCCTTCTTCCCTTCCTTCCTCCTTCTTGTTATACTGGTTGCTATGATATCGTCCCTCATTTTTGTTTAAAATCAGCCAGCTTCATGTTTTCTTTCATTTGGATCAATTTTCTCTATCCCAAGCCCTTTAATAAACTTTTACTCCCTTAACTGTAATCTAATTTAAATGTTAAACTTTCAACATTGAGTTTCAGAATCGCTCATAGTTTTATTGCCTTCTATACAGAAAATGTTACTCCGCCAAATTTTTACTTTTTTGCACTTGGGAATATCTAAGGCAAAGAGGGGTGAATTTAAAAGCCACCAAGAAGTGATACCCAGTTCCTTTTTCATCCAGACTTTTTCCTCTCTTCTCTACTTATTCCTGCCCAAGAATTTCAACCCAATCTCTTCATGTAGTTCTCTTAGTAATAATAATAATTGCAGACAATATGTTTTTGGATGCTTACTCTGAGTCATGCAACTCTTCTTAGTGCTTTCTATTCTATTTCAATTATACCTACAACAGATAGGTACTATTGTATCACCATTTCATAGATATAGAAACAGAGTAGGAATTTACTTAAGGTTACATGCTGGTAAATAAGCAACAATGGTATTCAAACTGAATCTCAGTGACTCCAGAACCCACACTCTTGGCTCTCACACATTATTTTCTTCACTTTAGGCTGACAGTCCCTTTGAATAGCCCATTAAACTTTCCATAATTATACTCTTCCAATTTCAAATGCCTTCTAAAAATAACTTCTCAAATCCCCTCCTTTTATTATCTGACCAAACCTCTTCCCCTTTATGGGCAACATCTGTAATAGAATGGAAAAAGATAACTAGCATATATAATAAACTCCAGCAAATTAGCAAGAAAAAGGCATCAATACCAACAGAAAAAAATGAGCAAAGTCTGTAGAACAGACAATTTGCAGAAAAGAAAACCTGAAGTAGTACCGAACATGTGAAGAGATGCTCAAACCAATTACTAAACATAGAAGTGCAAATTAAAACAGTGATACATCTTTTTACATCTACAAGATTGGCAAAAATGTAAAAGTTGGATGGTGCTAAGTGTTAGTAAGGAGGTGAGGATTTAGGAACCCTCATGTACTGCAGCTATTCTGAAGAACAGTAAGATATTACTTAGGAAAAATAAGTGTATGTATCCACAGGACATAGAAAATCTAGTCCAGAATATATATATATATATCAAAAACATTCTTTCCCAGGCCCATAACATGGCATATACAAAGACATTCATTATGTCATTATCTTTGGCGATGGGAACTTAGATATAAAATAGGTGTCCAACACTGGGAAAGTAAATAGATAAACTGTGGTAGAAATTTTGCAGCAGTTAGAAGCAAAGGATTAGCTATAGGCAATATAGATTAGAGGTATAGAGCTATGTGAGAAAAGTAAGAAAGGTAATGAATATAAAGCAAAGTATTATTTATGTATATGGAATTTGCATGTGCACAAATAAAAGAAAGCACACTTAAAAAGAAAAAAAGACACAAAATACACATTAAATAAGTTAGAGAGATAAGATGCATGGAAATAGGAAGTGGGAAATAGAAGAAAGAGAAAATCAAGAAAGACCATATTCTGGACTATAAGACAAACCTTAACAAATTTAAAGGAATAGAAATCATACAATGTCTGCTCTTCAATCACAATAAAATTAAACTAGAAATCAATAAACAGAAAGATAGCTGGAAAATCCCAAAATACTTGGAAAGTACGCACCACATTTCTAAGTAACATATATTTTACAAAGAAATCTCAAGAGAAAGTTCAAAATATTTTGAACTAAATAAAAATAAAAACAAATCAAAAATTTTGAATAATCAAAAATTGTAGGATGCAGTGAAAGCAGTGTTTAGAAGAAAATTTACAACATTGAATGCACTAGGAAAAAAGATCTAAAATCAATCATCTAAGCTTCCAAGTTAGAGAACTAGAAAAGGAAGAGCAAATTAAATCCAATATAAGCAGATAAAAAGAAATAATAAAAATGAGAGCAAAAAATCAATGAAATTGAAAACAGGAAATCAGCAGGAAAAAAATCAATGAAACTAAATGCTGGTTATTTGAAAAGTTCAATAAAATTGATAAACCTCTAGTCATGCTAAGAAAAAGGAGAGACAACACAAATTACTAATATCAGAAATGAAAAAGACGATATCACTATAGATCCTGTGGACATTAAAAGAATAAAGGAAAACTGTGAAAAGTTCTATGCCTACAAATGTAATAACCTAGATGAAATTGACTAATTCCTTAAAAGACACAATCTGCCAAAATTCACACAAAATAAAGACAATCTGAATAGATATATATCTGCAAAAGAAATTGAATCAATAGTTAATAATCTTCCAAAACAGAAAACTCTAGGCCCAGATGGATTTACTAGTGAACTCTAACAAACATTTAAGAAAAAGCTTACATCAGTTCTCTACAAATCTTCCAGAAGATAGAAGCAGAGGGAATACTTCCCAATTCATTCTATAGGGCCAGCATCACTCTAATAACAAAACCAAGACATTACAAGAAAAGAAAACTACAGCCAATATCTCTCATGAACATAAATGTAAAATTCCTTAGCAAATTTTATCCAATTAAATTCAGAATGTATAAAAAAAATTATATACCGCAACTAAGTGGAATTTATCCCAGTCATGCAAGATTGGTTCAACATTTGAAAATCAATTAATGCAATTCATCACATCCAAAAGGCTAAAAAAGAAAAATTACATGATCATATTCATAGATGCAGAAAAAACATTTGGCAAAATCCAACAACTATTCATGATTTTTTAAAAATTCAGTGAACTGGAAATAAAGGGAAATTTTTGCAACTTATAAAGAACTCCTTTTAAAATAACCTACAGCTAATGTCATATTTAATGATGACAAAGTTGAAGCTTTTCCACTGAGTCAGGAATAAAGCAAGAATGTCCTCTCACCACTGCTTTTCAGCTTTGCACCAGAAATCCTTGCTAATGCAATAAGACAAGAAAAGGAAATAAAAGGTATACAGATTGAGAAGGAAGAACTAAACCTGTCTTTGTTCACAGATGGTATGATTGTCTATTTAGAAAAGACCAAAAAAAATTGACAAAAGAAAACCTCCTAAAACTAATAAGCAATTATAGCAAGGTTGTACCACACAAGATAAACATAGAAAAGTCAACTGCTTTCCTATATACCAGCAAACAAGTGAAACTGAAATTAAAAACACAATACCATTTACATTAGTACCCCCAAAAATGAAACACTTAAGTATAAATCTAGCAAAATATGTACAAGATCTATACAAAGAAAACTACAAAACTCTGAAGAAAGAAATCCAAGAACTAAGTAAACCAAGAGATTTTCTATGTTCGTGTATAGGAAGACTCAATAATGCATAACTTCCAAAACTAAGAAGCAACCAAGATATCCTTCAGTAGGTGAATGATAAATAAAACATAGTAGCCACAGACAATGGATACCATTCGGTGTTTAAAAAAAAAAAATATTAGTTATGAAAAGACATGGATGAAACTTAAATGCATAGTACTAAGTGAAAGAAGCCAATTTGAAAAGCTAAATACTGTATGATTCCAAATATATGACATTTTAGAAAGGCAAAACTATAGAAATAGTAAAAAAGATCAATGGTTGCCAGGAATTAGGAGAGAGGAAAGGATGGGCAGAGTACAGAGGACTTTTTAAGGCAGTGAAAATACTCTATATGATACTATGTCCAAACCCATAGAATGTCCAACACCAAGAATGAGCACTATTGTAAACTGTGGAATGAGGGCAATAACAATGTGTCAATGTAGGTTTATCCATGACAACAAATATGCTGGGGGTGGGGAGAGACAAAAAAGCACAACAAATATACCACTAAAGTGGGAGATGTCGATAATGTACCAGGTTGTGCATGTGTAGAGGCAGGGAGTATACAGGAAATCACTGTACCTTCTGCTCAATCTTGCTGTAAACTTAAAACTACTCTAAAAAAGAAAATCTATCTTAACAAAAGAAGAAACAAAAAATAATTTTTCCTAGACCCATCCCAATCAAAACACTCACGAAGCTCTGGATCAGAGCTAGCCACTGAACTATTGACCAGGGAGACAGGCTGGCCTGCCCCTAATATTTGTGGGGTCTGGGGAAAAAACTAAGTATTTAAAAGTTGGCATCCAGGCAGCAAAGTGCTAAATATTTTCCTTCTTTCTACCTTGACAAATATAGCTTAGTAACAAGCTAAGAGGCCAGGTTCAACTTTGGAAATCGCAGAATTCTAAGAGTCCCATATCAGAATGTGGTATTAGTAGAAAGCGCTTCCTGGCTCCCAGCATCCTGCAAACAATGACAGCTTGGCCCCTCCACTTATCACTTAGTTCTTTCCCACTCCACAAGAACCTCACACATATACATGTATGGACAATCTCGTATTCACGTTCTTAGCCCATACCCCTGCACACAGCCAGAACCCTGCCATCAATTTAATCTACAGGTAAACAACCAGTAGTGGTCTTCCTTTCTGGCA